TTGTGGCAGTAGCCGGAGAGCATATCCGCCCTTACTTGTCATATCTACTGGGGCTTACAGATCTGATTGGCCGGACAGGAGTGTATGTACCATCTTGGGTTCGGCAGTTCTACGCATCGCTCTATGTTGATCCACATCATAACTTCATTCATTTTGCATTCAACAGCAGAGATTACAGAGTGATGAGCCAGAGGGTCAGGGAGATACTGAGGCTACAGGAGCAGCCTGTCAGATTGCATGAGGTGTGTTATGGACAGCAGGAGCCTCCTAGGCGTCCTCATGGAGGGATAGTGCCCCCTACTGATCTTGTGTGCCATTGCTTTAAGGAGCCCTTTGGTGAGGGGTCGAGGAGGAACCCCAGTGACCTGACTCCTACAGCTCGAGTACTAGAGGCTATCATCAGGAGGACACTTCTTCCCCGGTTGGGATACAGAGAGGGTCTGACTCGCCTACAGCTCTGGCTCCTTAATGCCCTGATGCAGCAGACTGTGTTCGACATTTGGAACCTCCTTCTATCAGAGATGGAGGATACTATAGCTGAGGGTTTCAAGGGTCACAGGCAGCTCCCTTATGCACATTGGATCACATTCTTGATACTCAAGTCTGTGCAGGTCAGGACCCTAGAGATGGTTGCCGAGTACAAGGGTGCCACTATAGAGTTCCTAGCTTATAACATGGCACAGAGGATCAGGCACAGCACACCACAGGCACCTACTCAGCCCAGTCGCCGTCCAGATGTTCCAGAGTCAGCAGCTCAGCGGGATGAGATTATCGAGAGGCATAGCCGCTCTCGAGGAGGAGCAACTTGAGGCACAAAGCAGGAGGTGAGCGAGTACAAGGATAGCTCGGCGATGACTACCGGCCTATTCCTCGAATGCCTCCATGCATATTTGATCTGCAGAGGCCGGCGATTCTAGCTCAAGCCACCTGCACCTCGAGACGGACCCGCTCTTATTGCCATACTTGAGCGAATGCAAGCAGAGACCCGAGCTCGCCCGAGCACAGAGACAACTACCAATTTTGCATTATTCCAGCTCGTCGGGGATTTAGTTTGAGGGCAAAGCAGTAGTACTCCAAAGCGGCGGCAGCAGATGCACCAAAGCGAGATCCTATTGCGGCGGCGGCTTATGGGCTTCATGCGGCATGTTGTGACAAAGCACTTGGGGCTCCACAAACCCACAGCCTTCACCCCAACAGGTCACCTTCTACCACTTCAACGACTCCAAAGAAGATAGCCCAAAGGGTTTGAGTCGAGACAGCCTCTCGATGCAGTTTGCTTCGCCACCAGTTCAGGTGTCCCAGTGGTTGTCCTCACCAGTGGTAGCCCCGCAGTTCACTCCATATCACACGGGCTTCTCACCGAAGCGGTCACCCTCGCTTTTTGTGCCGACACGTCGGTCTCAGAGTCTTGGAGCATCCTTCAATGAGTTGACCGGCATGCCTACACCGCCTCATATGCATGCCGCCGGTCCTTCTACAGCAGCTCCAGTCGCTGTGACTACTCAGAGGCTCCCTTCGTCTATCGCCTCTTGATCCCTCACAGACCATACCAGTTGCATCACATGTCGCGCTTGCCCCACTGCACCCAGGACCGCTTGGCGACACTTCCCGCCTGGAGGGTCGGTCAAGACAGAGCTCAGGGTCAGATAATGATGGCGCTCAGTTTCATCTTGTTCCACGTACTTCAGCGCCCGACTCGTCGGCTGCAGCCCCGCCAACCGACCCTTAGGTTTTGGTGTTTGACGCCAAAGGGGGAGAGGGTTCGAGTATGTAGACTCAGGGGGAGCGATTTTTAGGGGGAGCTTGTTACCTAGTATTAGCTTTTTATATACATTTGGAGTTTTATTTGTGTGATACACTATTTCTATTATGCATTCGTGTGTTACTTTCATGCATACTATTATATCTATGTGATAGTGTTATCTACGTGGTAGTGATATATGACATGTGTGCTCTCTACTTTACATTATTTATATGTCATATCACTTTTGTTATGCTCATTTGCCTTTGCTTCCGCGTTTATGCTCCGATGCAAATGAGTTTTGTTTCTTGTACTCATGCTTAGCTCAGATCCTTTGAGTACATTGAGTTGGTTTGGATCATATAAGCTTGCCTAACACTTTTGTTCTTATCGACAAAAGCTTATATGAACCAAGCCCGTCAAAAACCTCACCCTTTCACATTCTCGAGGTGGTATTGTCATCAATCACCAAAAAAGGGGAGATTGAAAGCATCTAGGCCCCTAGTTGGGTTTCGGTGATTAATGACAATACAAGATTACTATGACTAACGTGTGTTTTGCAGAGGCAAGTAAGTTAGGTCATGGTAATGGAGATCAATTGGGCAATCAAAGTTGTCATGCCCCTACGATGGAAATTGTTTCGGTTTTCAAAGGATGGACGACAAGGTTAAGGATGACTAGTTCTAAGTGTTGATTGGAGTTGAAGAGACACTTAGAGTAGTTTTGGACTTTGTTTTTCTTTTGGCCGTACTATTAAGGGGGTATGGACGGGTAGCTTGACCTAGTTAAGTCTAGTGAGTTAGGTGTGGTGCACACTTATTAAAACTAGCTCTAGGTAGCTCCTACGAATGCCTAAGATCCTTTGGAGCAAACTTCATTCACATATGATCGAGAGTTGGAAGTGAATGGAGGGTCAAATGCTGACCGGACGCTGGCCCTGGTGCGACCGGACGCTGGCTGTAGGGTCCGGTCAGTTCATTGGATCTGCTGTTTGCGTTCGGTGTGACCGGACGCTGGAGAGGTCGAGTGACCGGAGGCTGAAAGGCAGCATCTGGTCGACTCCAGTAAGGTTCCAGAAAAGGAAATCTGCGACCGGACGCGTCCGGTCAGTTCTGACCAGACCCTGAGGGTTCTGCGTCCGGTCGAGTCCAGTAAGGGTTTTATGCGACCGGATGCGTCCGGTCAGGGCTGACCGGACCCTGCCAGCGTCCGGTCAACTCTTTTTCACTAGTTCACGGGTTGAACTGACCGGAGCGTCCGGTCAGTGCGACCGGAGCATCCGGTCACCCCGCAGAAGCTCATAACGGTTCGTTTTTTAGGCTGCCTTATAAATAGAAGCTCCACTCGTGTGTGGAGTTGCTTTTGCTCATTCCAACAGCTGAGAAACACGTTTGTGAGTGCAAAGAAGAGCAAGATCCTAGTGAGGTGATTGAGATTTGAGAATCCAAGAGAGTAGCATCATTAGTGAATCAAGAGTAGTCAAGTGTGCATCCATCTTCTCATTAGACTTCGCGTGGTCAAGTGAGAGTTCGTGCTTGTTACTCTTGGTGATCGCCATCACCTAGACGGCTTGGTGGTGATTGGGAGCTTGGTGATCACCCGGTGGAGACTGTGGGTGACCCGACTCAAGTTGTGAGCGGCCTTGGGTGATTCGCCGCGACGGAGTGTCGAAGAATTAACCCGTAGAGAGCACTTGATCCTTGCGCGGATCAAGGGGGAGCTACACCCTTGCGCGGGTGCTCCAACGAGGACTAGTGGGGAGTGGCAACTCTCCGATACCTCGGCAAAACATCGCCGCGTTCCTCTCTCTCTCTCTCTCCATTTACTTTGAGCATTTATTTTGAGTATTTACTTTGAGCAATTCAATACTTGTCTTTACATTCATAGAATTGACATGCTAGAGTAAATTTGGAACATAGGTTGAAAGTCCGTTGGGCGATTAGTTTGATAGAAACACTTTTCTAGGCACAAGGGGTTAATTGGGCTATCCGTAGGATTTGATTATTGAAAGAAAATTTAGAATTAGTCTAATTCACCCCTCCCTCCCTCTTGGGCATCTTGATCCTTTCAAGGCTACCATGTCGCGGAGCGACATTTTCATATTATAGAAGAGTCGATGCAATAACATGCTGCTGAAGGGATTCTAGGAAAAAACGGTCTGGCCAGACTCGAGAAATTGTCCAGATTCTATGGTCGACAGTGCCAAAGTGTCTTGGGCAATTTTAGAAACCATCCTAGCTAGTTTTCTTGATAAAACTTCTTGTAAGTGATTTGAGAGCTTCCATTATTGATATCAAAGTAAGTGATTTGAGAGCTTCCATTATTGCTTATGTATACGATCCAAGTGCTAAAATTGATAAGGTGGATAGCATTTAAGTACATGTTGGTCAATGATGAGTTGTATCAATGAACCGTCAAAGACTTATTGCCGAAGTGCTTGGATTCAAGCTTTAGTGACTAGGGAGAGATACACGAAGGCATTTGTAGTATGAATCAATCGGCTGTCGATGAAGTGGTTTCTACGATGGACTCATTTTTATTGGCTTAATATGATAGCCGAGGGTGTGGAAAGTGTCAATGGTTATTTGACAATGTGCAGTCGGTGCCTGCTGGAATGATGTATGCTATCATCGATCCATGGACATTTCAAAGATGGGGATTGGACTTCATTAGGCAGGTTCATCCTCCTTTCAAAGGAGATTGCGTTGGTGGCTTCAAATTATTTCACAAAGTGTATCGAAGTTGTTCTTTGGAAGAACATGATGCATAAGTATAAACGCCTTATTACATTCATATTGCGGTGTTAAACTATAATTAGGTGATCTGATTCCTCTCATTTGAAGATGAAGCGGGATGTTACGCCTAGGACTGATCTATGTAGTGACTTGTGGGTTATGGCTAAATTTTCACCATATTCGCACCCTTACAATAAAAATATACATATCCACAAGGCAAATGCATCCACCTTGAATTTGGTCTAGCTCCGCCCTTGTGTTACCTTTCATTATTATCTTTAAATAAAATCTTAGGTCCTAAATGAAACGATATATTTAAGCATGAACATGGCATAACTTGACAAAGCCAGAATTACTTTTTTTTATAACAAATCAAACAATAATGCCTGAAACACTCACAATAACATACCGGCCCTTTACTATTATTGTTCCAACAAACTATCACACAGCAAGAGTATATACGTATATATTATTCACATAAACCGATGATTCTATCCACCGTACCAGCACACCTAGCCAGCCCATCAAGCATAGCTGCACTCGATCTTGCGGCCTTTCTTGTTGGCGCAGTAGTCGGAGATCATGTACCTCTTCTTGACGCCCTCGTAGGCCGCTCGCTGCTTCGGGGTGAGGTCCCGGTATCCGCCACCGTTCCACCACAGGCCCGGTGAGTCACACGGCGTCCCGCTGCCGGTGGCGCAGCCGTTGACGTCGAACCCCTGGTACCCAGCCGTGAACGGTGCCTTGGACCAGTCGACCTTGGTTCGCCCGCCGTCCGTGGCCCAGGAGGAGCCGTCCCAGATGCTCACGCGGATCAGCATCGGCTTCGTTGGGAACTCGTACCCCGGCACCGTGCTCCTCAGGTTGCGCATCACCCGGATCGGCGTCTCGTCGACGAACATCCTGTCATGTGGATTGCATTGCATTGCTGACATGAAAAATGCGCCTAGCTTCATTCTACGTACGCCGAGCCGTCTGGGGCTTACACGAGCAGGTAGGGGTTCCAGAGGATCTTGTAGTCATGGAAGTCCGCGGAAGGGTCGAACCAGAGGTGCAGCCGCTGCTCCCTCTGGCCGTGGCCGTTGACGAAGAAGTTGGTTTGGAGGGTGGATGGGCACGCCGGCCTTGTCGCCCAGGAACTCGAAGTCCACCTCGTCACGGGTGCCGTCTTCTGGCTGCGAAATAAGCTACAACAAGAACCCTGATCCAAGATTAGTTTCGATCTCACATAGAAGGTTGTGACGACGCCGGCCGTGTAGCCGGACGGCAGCTTCATCCTCGAGTGGAAGAACCCTGACCCGTACGTGGCCTTGGACTTGAACCCACCACCACGAGCCGCTGGACGATCACCGAAATGATATCATCACGAATTCAAGATTCACGAGAGCGTCACTCTCCTCGTCGTCTCTTGCGTGCATGCAGTACGTGTGTCGTTGTTTGGCCAGAACTAATAACTAAGAAGCAACCATGCATGCAGGTACGTACCGCTGCTCTGATCCAAGATGAGATCAACCTCAGTCCCGTGGCCGACCAGGCGCCCCCAGTCCTTCACATAGTTGACGTTGAGCGGCGGCGCCGGCGCTGCCTCTGCTGCCGGCACCAAGCTAGCACCCTCGGTTAGGAGGACGAGGAGGAGGAGAAGCCATGCGCGCACCTCCGAAGCCATCGCAAGAGCAGACCCAATGCAAGACAGACCTAAGCTAGGACTTCTAACTTGCTTTCTCTCGCACACCCCCAAGACCTAAGCTAGCACTTCTAACTTGCTTTCTCTCGCACACCCCCAAGCCCAGTTGCGAGGGTTCACCTCACTGGTCTCGCCGTTTTATCGCTGCTGGGATTAATGCTAGGGTAAAACTTATGATGCATTAGTTACCATAGGTGAGATCTTTTAAGGTGGGTTAGTGGTTAATTAGTGGGTTACTAGTAACGGACAATTGATTTGTCAGTTACTAGTAACACACATGGTCTTCATGGACATTATATCAACCATTACGCCTGTCTCTTGGTGCTCCAGGAAAGGCTACAAAAGGCGGCGTCCTCCTCCTGTCCGTGGGCAGATGACACATAACCACGTCTCACCATTTCGCTATTGCATGCGCTGCTCTCTGTCATCTCCGTTCCGGCTTCCTGCACGCACGGGCTACCGGAAGAGCATATGCCTCCAAAATTCTGCTCGCTTGAGTATCTGCACGGGTAGACGGGCGATCAGGACGGGCGATCAGGTTTTTGGAGAGTGCTTGTGCGTGACTGCTCGCTTCTTTACGCTCCTGTTCCAAGTGATCGGTGGTCTAGTACAAGGCGTTCATGGACTGCTTCCTGGTGGTTTTCTTATTCACGACGCGTACCTAGCAGTCCGCACTGCCCTTTCTGCACTGCATTAGATGTGATCAGCTACATCGAATAGCTCACTATATCAACTAGTGGAATAGCGCCTCCAGTCCCTTCGGCACTGGCCCTGCCTCATATATGGTACAACACTGCGAATCTCAATTAGTAATCGAACTAAAACTTTCATGGATTTCACACTTGTGAGCGGCATACATATATATCTTTGACTAATCAAGGGATTCTAGCCAGGACAAAATGGCACATATGGGTTTCTTTTTTCCCGGGCGGATCAATCAGATATAGTTCCATAGTGCCTATATCCTCTCGAAACGTTTCCGGGAGGAGAAGCGTGGGGAAGGGAAGAGAAGCGTCGGGAAGCAGAGGCAGCAACCGAGTAAGGCGAACCACAGATCGGGAAATGAACGGTGTAAATTCTTTTTGCTATCGTGGACTGTCTGAGCGCTGGCCAAAGCTCCCTGCTTTGATAAGAAGAAATATAAATATAAATATAAATAAATGGGCACGCGTCAGAGCCGTGTGACAGCAACGACATGAACTTTCAGAAAATGGCCGCAACGACAGGAGTTTCCGGAGCTGCCTCATCAGCTTTGCAAGGAACAGTCAAGTCCACGTACGCCAACTCTATATATGGTGTCACCACTCATCACCAACCACAACCAAACATGCATACTTCTATGTTTACTCGTAGTGGTTCTTGTAGGTTTCTCCAGATATCCAAGCGCACAAGGTAGATGACGGTTTCGTCGAATGAAGCGATTCAGTAAGCAGCAGGCGTTCCCAAAGATTTATAAGATTTGTCATGATCAAGATATATCAGTACAGCTTGCTGGAGAAAGTGGTTGGAACTTCAGTTATAGAAGATGCTTTGGGGTGACACAGATGAATGAATGGAGAGAGCTCATGGCAAAATTGGAGAGAGTTAACCTGACAGAGGAGGATGATGGAGTCACATGGAACCTTGAACCTTCAGGTAAAATTTCCACAAGGAGCTTGTATAGGCTCATCACTTTTTTTTTTTGGGGGTTCATTGATGTCAGGATGATGGAGATTTGAAATGCCAAAATTCCTTTGAAAGTGCAAATCTTCCTTTGGATGGCTTGGCATGATAGGATCCAGACAACTCAGCAGTTGAGGAGAGAAGAAATTGGGATGGTTCTAATGTTTGTAAATTCTCCTCTTCTATCAAAAGCTTTCATGATCTTCTCACTAATAGTGGAGGGGATAATATAATAGCGGTTTACTTTGCTGGGTAACGGCGGCAGTGGGGTGGTCGCTGTGGAAGACTAGGAACGATTTAGTGTTTTCTAACATTGTGATTAAATCACCTTAACAAGTGGCTTACAAAACTCTTAGCTTTTTGAAGCAGTGGATCAAGCTGGCGAGAAAGGATGGAGCCAAGAAGGAAATCTGGGTGGTGAAGTTGAAGGAAGGCTTGGCGCGATGGTGACTGCATCTAGATGCTGTCTTTTGTTTTCTCTTTGTATAGTCCTTTGTTAGGCAGTATCTCTCTTTGCTGGTAGTTTGAGTCTGAAACAACAGGCTCGGTGGTCCTTTTGTTTTGCTGAGTGCTGGTGTTTGTTGGGGTGCTTTTATCAGTCTGTAATACGCTACTGTAAGCTGGTAACCCAGCATGGACACCACTTAAGCTTTCAATATAAGCTGGGCTATGAGCCTTTGGTCTAAAAAAAAGTAAGCAGAAGGCATGTGGCTTACTTCGCATGTAGTTTGCCTTCGTTTTGGTGTGATGGATCGGAGACCATCTGTTGCTCTGTTTTCCTCTTTTGTAACACAGGAGTTCTACGGGATTAATGTAAGAATTTCACAAAAAATAGTTCAAATTTCGCAGGAAAAAACGTAGAAACATGACATGTAGGTCCCTTACAGTGCCCGGATGCTTTAAGCACAAGTGCTTGAAGAGAGAATGTTGTTACATCATTAAGCACCCGTATAAAAGCTAATCTCTCTGAAGCAAATAGAAGATTTAAATGTGCTAAACTACACTAAGAGCAAAATTTAGTTTTTTTACCCTCTTTATAAGCACCTAGTGCATATGACATAGCGAAAATAATTAAATTATGTTTTTTCCTATGCTAAGCACCTCCTCTAAACACCCAAAATTGTACATGCTCTAATCGTTATTCTCCAAGCACGCATATTCCTGCCAGCGTCAAAAAGACATTCTATTTCCATCACAAAGTGATAATACTTGAGTTGTATTCCCTTTGGTCATGAATAAGTGGTGTTTTAGGGTTTCATAAAGCAGTCAACTTTTAGGCTAGTTCCATACTTCCATATTGTATACGATAACCATTTATCGTTTATCACGTAGGAGCATCATGGTGATAAATCTTGGCACGAAAACTAACTTTTGAAAACCGCACACATATATTCTAGGGCTATTGTCATAGACACAACTTATCCATCAATTAATTGAACTGTGATTCCTAAGAAACAACACCATGGTACTATGAATCGCAAGAGTTATATGTATTATGTTAGAGTATAAAAAAGCATGCACGTCATGTTTAAGTTATATATGGCTAGCATGCACATGCTTAAATGGGCCAGGGCCTGCCCATTTTGCCATCTATAGTCAAAGCACTAAGGCTTTCTAGAACATTGTGCAGGGATATGCTATTTTTATCTAATTCAAACGGTGCTAATTTTACAGCAAAAAAAACTATATGGTTACCAAAACACTTTTTTGAAAGGTCCAAGACAAAGCCCGCATAAATTAAGAAGGAGAATTTTTGTGCTAGAGGCGTAGCTACATCAAACCCAAATTAGCGGGGGGGGATTATATAAAAAACAAACTACTCAAAAACTAAGATGGTCAACTAACAACTATAAAGGATCTGCTCTTACTCGGCTTTGATGCTTCGTCTTAAAACACTTACTATCCACAAGAAACAACTCCAAAGCCTCCACCAAAACTAAATGAGACTCAAGACCTAACTTAAACAACTAAACGCTACTGTGTGCCGACAGAAAACGAAACATAAAACACATATAGCTGCCACTAGAAACTGATAAAAAACCTAAGCTTCATCCTTAGTGACACAGGGGCCTATAGTAGTCCTAGTCTTCTCATTGTTGTTGAGGCGGGCTACTAACTGGATTGTTGTGATAGCCTCGACCGGGCGGTTCCTTACAAGAAACTAAGAATGTTGTGATCGCTGCTTCATCCACAAATTCTTTAGGATTGGTGAAGTTCAACTCACGGATCAAACGGTGCTTAGGGATATTGGTAGCAAGGTGGCTGCTATAATGTTGTGCCTTCGCTAGCTTGGTGAAATCGGCGGAGCTTATGGCCTACAAACTTTTGCTGGCCTACAAACTATTGCTAACCTCAGAGTGAGGACAACTTGGTCAACATTGGTGGAGGTGTTGCCAGGGGTAGCCAAAGGTGTAGCGTCATTAGGAAGCTTATGGGCTAAGTTCAAGCCATCGAACTCCATCCCATGGTCCGGAGAGCAAGCATGGTCCTCATCAAGAGAGGAGGACATTCGCATGGATGATCGAGCAATAGAGCTAAATTCATGAACGGGGTCCAGTCTAGGAAGGCAAGGGTCAGTAGGAAGCACCTCATCTTATTGTACCTCGTAGAAGTCCAGTAATGGATCCAGCTAGTGGCATGCTAGAGAAGGCTCATCAAGTTTCACTAGCCCCCTGAAAGGTCCTAATGGCTAGAGGAGGGTGAATAGCCTATAAAAATTTCTACAACAACACTTAATAAGATGGTTAGACAATTATGAATCGAAGCCAGTGTTGCGCTAGCCTACTCAAAATGCAAGCCTCCTATCCACAATTCTAGTCACTATGATCTCTACTCCACACTAGAGGCTATGTCATTACCACTAAGTTAGTGAGCTCTCAAAAACTAACTAAAGAGCCTCACTAACCACTAGATCCAACACAAGCTAGCTCTCAAAACTAGTTACACTAAAGAGCTTAGCTTATACACTAGGAATATAAATACAAGGGTGAGGTAGTGAGATTATACCGATGTGGCAAGCGATGATCAATCAATCAATAACAATGAATACCAAGAAATCCTTGGGACAAGATGACACAAAGATTTTTTACCGAGGGTCACTTGCTTGACGATAAGCTAGTCCTCGTTGTGGTGATTCACTCACTTGGACGTTCACGCGCTTATAGGCATCACACGCCTAACCCACAATCGGGTGCCGCACGACCAACACAAGATGAGGATCACACAAGCCACGAGCAATCCACTAGAGTACCTTTTGCCTCTCTGCCGGGAAAAGGTCAAGAACCCCTCACAATCACCATGATCGGAGCCAGAGACAAGCA